ACGCCAAGGGGGAAACTGTCTAAACGGGGAATCCTGCGCGTGCACCGGGGTGGGTATCTCCTGCGCGTGAGACAACACCTGGCAGGTATACACACATGTGTATGTTTACGTACATTCGCATAATTCACCGGCGTGACAAAACGACGTCGTTATGTTTTTTCCCACCTACTGATCGTTTTTTATTTTTTTTCTTTTCAATTCTGAGGAAATCTGTGAATAGGAAAATTTCCCAAAATTATCTTCTCTCGCATTTTTTCTCCCAAACGGGGGGATTCATACCTTTTGTTATATCTTTTCTCTTGCGCATTTGTATGTGCGTCCATTTTGTTTTTCTCACCCTGTTGATTCTTCACGCCGCTGCTTAACTCCTTGCAACGATTGAAAAACTTGTTCTCTTGGGCAAAAAAAAAGAAAAAAAAAAAAATACGAGATGCGGAAGCGTCTGTGGTATTATAGCCTCATTGTGAGCAACAGGACAAAGACGTTTTTCTTTCTCGTACAACCAAGTACCAGGCTAAGATAGAACTTCCTCCTCGTCCAACGAATCGCGACCCACAATTTTGTTTCCCCATTTGGGAACAACTGAAGAAGTTTGAAACTCCTCGAAAAAGACACTTCTCTTGCGCCTTTGGTACATTATTGAGCCCCCAATTTGACAGCTCCTTCGAACATGCTAAGAGTGGCCCTTCCTTACCCAAACAGACATGAAAGGATATGCAGACCAGCTAGCTAATCATACACTCTTCCATTCTGTATTGCCCCTTTTTCCACATATGTAGATTCACCACTTGGGGCAAGACATCCTCAAAGCTGTTAACTTCCCTGCTGTCAGTAAAGCTTCAAATTACCGAGGGTGGTCCCCATTTTGGTTCTGGCGCCGCGAGGGGAATATCATAAAAAAGGAATGTAAAACAGAGCAACACAAGGTGAGGCAAAAGCGAACCGACGAAACTGGCCAAACCGACCCAACGCGACACTAGCTTGCCCCATGCCACCACTGCACGCATAAGGGGGGGTGTTATGCGGACGGCAAAACGGAGAGGTCCAAAACCTCACCTTCTTTTTTCCCCTCTTATATGCAAGGAAGCGTTTTAAAAAAAGTGAAAGGAATTACACCACCCTTCAGTTGCCTACGCGTAGCGACGAAGGGGGGAAAATAGGTTGGAGCGAAAAAGAAACAGAAAGGAAGTACAGCAGTGTAAAACGCGACCTCATAGCACAATCGCGCAACGGGGCGCAAAGGAGGAAGCGCAGAATAGGCAACGCCACTAAACCGCTTGGGTCTTCCCCCTCTCCCCCAAAAAAAAAAAAATAGCAATTTCAGGAACTTGGCAAAATTACCAAATTTATTCTAACAGGTTACGTAAAAAGGAAAAAAAAAAGAGGAAAAAAAATGTGACCACTTTGCGAGCAAATATTTCTTCACCGTATTGACTAACACTTGAGGTACATGTGCACAGCACGTGCGATCAACATCCGCGGTGTGAAGAATCGCCAAAAGGGAAAGCACAGTTGTACGGTATAGGGGAAGCAAAAAAAAAAAGAAAAAGAAAAAGAATAAAGAAAGGAAGAAATAAACACCAAGAGGGAAGAAGGAAGCGGCGCGGTGAAACGGTGAGACCGCCAAGCGGAAAAAAGCGAAATAGAACGGAATAGAACAAAATAAAACGAAATAAAACGAAATATAACCGAGTAAAACTCAGTAGAACTAAGCAGAACCAGCAAAACTGAACGGAGCAACACCCCCGCGCGCAACACACGCTTACACAAGGTGGAATTGGCGAGTCCCGCAGAATAAAACGTAACAGTAAACACAACATCGTTGGAGGAAAGATCAACAGGGCGCGAATGGGTGGTGCCCACCTCGGGTAGAGGACAGAGTTGCAACTCCTAATGATCGGTTCGAGTGGAACCAGGTAGCACGCGCAGATGGTCGTCCAGTTAAGTGCAACGGTAAACATCACGGTGAAAAAAAAAAAAAAAAACGAAAACGCAAGAAAAAGCACGAAAAAAAAAAAAAAAAAAAATCGAATTATTATTATTATTTTTTTTTTGTAACCACTGAGGGAAGAGAAAAATAAAGGAATAGAACAAATTAAAATATTTCCAACTATAACCAAAACTGGCAGTTCTAAAATTTCAACCTAGATCGAACTAATTCGTGCGAACCGGAGGAGATGTGCAACGGCAAAGGGGAAGAAACATAGCCAACAACAAAAGTAGAACGAGAGATATTACCCTAGCAAAAGGTAGAGTAAGAAACAATACCTTAAAAGAAGGAAGAAAAAGAAATATTTTCCTCAAAGAAGAACTTTTTTACACTCTCGAATGTCACCCACCCCCGCGGTGCACACAACGGCTTTTCCATTACCGGGCAACATCCCAGTAGTAGAACTTGCAGAAAGCAAGCGCGTAGGACCGGGGGAAGGAAAAAGAAAAAATAATAAATAAATAAGTAAAAGGAAACAAATAAATAAGTAAAAGTAAAGAAAAAAAAAAATCCAAAGATACATGTGAAAGTGGAACTCCTTTTAAGTAGCTGCCTGAAAGAAGGGAGTTTTCCGAAATGGAGGTCCAAAACGAAGTTGGCCAAAACCCAGGTGCACATTTAAAGAAGAAAAAAAAAAAAAAGCATGAAAGGAGGGGGAACAAACGGGCGCACGCTCCCAAGACGGATAGAGAAAAGGGGAAAAATGTAGGTAATAAGAAGAGTAGAAGAAATAGCAGCAACGAAAATGAGCCCACTAAACACCGCACGGAAGACCGCGCTGACGAGTACGCAGGTAACCCCATGCTCACCGATCAGGACAAGATAGCCCAGGCGGAAAGAAGCGACTACAAGGGGGTAGCACCCGACGAAAACCAGGACACCACCATGTCCACGTATGATGATAAGACGATGGAAGAAGCAGACAACACACAGCAGTCCGACGCCCATGACGTATGGATCGCACTTTGTAAATATCTCAATTGCATGCAGAAAAAGGAATACATAAATGAGGAAGATGCACATTCCGAATTAGAGGTGCCCCCAAATCAGTTTTTCACAAATTGTAACTTTTTTTGTAGTGAACATGAGGAGGATTATTCGACTGTCAATTCGGTGGAGACCAACAAGGGGGGGGGAGGTGTGTTCTGTTGGGGGGCCTCCCATCAGTGTGGTGAGAGTGAGGATGAGGGATGCGGCGCCGATGGAGAGACCGATGCTAATCACAGAAGCAGAAACGCGAACATGTCGAGCACGGATAACATTGGTAGCCACAAAGACAGGAATGACCCCATGGGGGGGGAATTTCCAGACGGGGGAGACCACAACACACACACACTGCACAACGCCGATGAGGAGAATGAGCAAGGAGAAAAACAAAAAACAAATATACGAATCATGAGCCAAGGGAAGGAAGAGTCACATTACAGGAGTGAGAACAACTTGACTACTTCGTCATCCTTATTTTCCAGACAGAAAAGTGAAAGAAACAATTTGGGCGACCCTTCTCACGGGATCACTCCTCTCGTCACTTGTGACCCCCTCACCAGTAGAGAAAAAATTGACAGAAACGTCATCTTCATGCAAGTAAGAAATTTCTCGCAAAAAATTGACGAGTACATTTCTGATGAAAAAATCTTCAGAGCGCAAAAGTTAATCCTGCACGTAAAAAAGTACGTAGAGCATTATATTAGCTATTTTAAAAAAATAAACGATGAAGAAGCTGTCCAAATGTTAACAGAGTATTATGAGGAGAACTGTACTGATAAGAAGTTCAGTTACAATATGAACAATTTAAAAGTCCATATGATGTTTTATTTTTTTAATTCTTTCCATTTGCATGACTTGTCCAGTGTCCTGCAAGATTATTCATACTATTTTTCGGTCGACAAAAATAATAGCGTATACTCTGACACGATGAGCAACTGGTTGGATAACAAGAATTCGCACACGGTAGGCGAAAATGCCAATATGAAGAGGAAATCTTGTAGGGTTCCCTCCGCCAAACACTCCGCTGACCAGTCTGCCGATCACCTCGGCGACCACTCCGACGGGGGTCTCCCTTGCGGCTCGTCCGCCATGGGGCTCACCTTGGACGGCGAGGTGCGCAGTGAGCAGAACGGCCAAGTGATCAGTGCGCAACATACTGATGAGGGAGGTGATCAAAGTGGCGAGGTTACAAATGAGGACCAACATGCGGATCGACATGCAGATCGGCGTGCAGATCAACGTTCGGACCGAGGGGAAGAGACAGCAGATGCCAACGAGGGCGCAGCAGGCGACCACCCCAGCGACTGCAACCAGGCCGAGGAGGACGAACAAGCAAATCAAGAAAGCCAAATCATTGTGGACAAAATGTATCACCACCAGTGCAACGATTCCAGCATCCTCAGCAGCAACAAAGTCTCAATCAGGAAGAAAAATTCCGAAGAAGAAACAAACATAAATACAAAAAAAAGTAATCGTCATATGGTTAAAATTATTAAGAAATATTCAAGACGATTTAGAAACTTTCGAAAAATGAAACAAAACAAAGAAGGATGGATTAAAGAAAATGATAAGTATTTGGATTTGTGGCACCGAGTGGATAATAACAATAACATTTCTATGCATATGCGGGCGAAGCTTCCCTACGAGGTCAACAAAATCCTGTCCATTATCAGCGAGACGGAGCTAAGCACGCACTGGGTGCCCTTTCTTACATCCTCTCAGAAAATCAAAAGCTTGTCGAGATGCAGCGCCATCATTGCGCAGCTTTATGAGTACCCCATAATAGGGAAGAAGGAGTCCCTGATGTACTGCCTAGGTGAGTGCAGCGCGAGAGCGTAGAAGCGGATAAACCGATAAGCGGATAAGCGGCTTGATGCGTTTAGGGCTCTAGTCCTTTTCTTCTATACCTCTCCACTCCCATTTAAAAACCTTCACCCGTCCTGCTTCTCCCCCGTTCTGCTTCTCCCCCGTTTTACTTTCCCCCCGTTTGACTTCCCCCCCGCAGGTGCCAACGCACTGGAAGAGCTCGGCTGCGTAATCCTCTATTGCATGTGCCCCCCGGAGCAGAAGAAAGACATCGAGTTCTACCAAAACATGTGCGAGCAAATCAACATAAACAAGAACGAGGAAATATTAAAAGTCAAGGAAATCCCATTGAAATTCAGAAAAGTAAAAAGGGAAGTCACTTTTTTTGACTGCCAGTTGCCTGAACACGTATCCAAAATAGAAAGACAAAGGGGAGCCAATTCGTGCTTCTTAATATACCCAGTGAATAATGGCAACTCAACAGTTCTCGAGCTATTCGTTCATTTCGAAAATGACTTTAAATACACGCCAATAAAAATGGTCACTTATTTTATTAAGAAAATTATGAAAAATACGTACGAGAAAATTGTCAAGGCGTGCAAAAATTACGACACGATTTATGCCCCCCGGCTAACCACAAACCAGGAATTTCACCTCTGGCTCCATAACCAAATTAAGGAGTACATTAAGAGCAAGCACCAGGCCAAGTTCATTGATTCGATAAGTCTCGAGAGCTATCACGGGCCGGAGAACAGTGACCCGCTCTAGAAACTTGGGGGGAGCGCGGTAGGATGGGGAGCAGGATGAGCGGCACGTTAAGAGATACAATGATACGCCGCACGCACATGATTGGTAGCGTGTCTCCTCACCCACTCATGCACTCATTTTGTTAACTCTTCCCTTCTCTGTGCATATGCCACCCCGCTTTCCCGGTCCCAGCACCAGAGCCATTTTTCCTTTCCGAATTGCCATCCTATGCTCGCATTAAAACAGCTTCCTTGTGCAACGTTCACCTGCTTCAGTGAGCCTCCTAAGGTATCCACGAGTGAAGGTACTGTTTACATACCATGTAGGCATATCTGCCTGGTAAAATTTTTTTTTTTTTACGTAGACGAATTTTGGGAGGATTGAGCCATTTTCGGTTTCCTGGCCCCACGGCGTTGCCATAGCGCGACTTCATTCCTATGAGCTTAACACCATTTGATTATTCCCATTTCATTGCTGCTCTCTTTGCTATTTCATTTTATTTTTTTTAGTAGTTAACATGATTTATTTGCGTCCTCTTCATAAAACCGATAAGACAAAACACACGTGCTGATTTCGTTTTCCCGACATGTGTTTTCACTTTTTAATCGTATTTAATTTTTTTTCCTTAAAAAGGGACTTACCCATTTTGAGTAAATTTTTATTTTAACACACAATTCAGTAGGCTACGCCGAGTGGTATGTGCAGGGTGTCGGGCTGAGCTCTTCGGGAAGAATAGGGGGGAAATAATTGGGAACAGCAATGAATGAAGCGAAGCGATGGGAGAAATAAAAAGGCGCGACTTTGTACAAACTCCAGTTTTGCGAATCGCATCCACTTTACAAAGGAATAGAGAAAGCACAGCTGACACAAAAATAGGTCCCATTTTGTACGTCATAATTATTGTTATGTAAGGGCAGTTTTTTATTTTACCAAAAGGTGCGACTCGATGGTTTGGCAGTTCATGCTTTTTTTCCCCTTGGCAAACGTGCACCTCCTCACTCTTTTCACATAATGACGTAAAATTAAAGGGCATACTCCGTTTGCTTTCGCGTATGTGGTTTTTCAACAAGGCAACATTGTACAAGGCGCTAAGTGGAATGGCGCCCACAGTTTTTGCATTTTCCAAAGCGCAGCCCCTTTTTCCTCCATCACACCGAGGCTTCGGTTCACCCCGGAACAAATGATCATTTAACCATTTGGGAAAATTGTAATGGAGGAACGTCTTCGTTTGGTCTTCCTATCATTCTAGTTTAAAATGGCGAAATTTTAAATGCCACAAAAAGAGTTATGAAATGTTCTTCTCACCGCCATAGGCAGTGATTTACGTCCATTTCATATCTTTTATACACCCCTGTAATAGAGGCCATGACGACTTTTTCTACCTTTTTCAGTCTAGATGGTGAAGAAAGAAGGAACAGCTGCTTGGGGCCATCATACATATAGGATAGGAGGGTGGCTTTATCCCAAACGTTAAGCAGAAAAAGTGTGCTGCTTTGTACGGGGCTGAAGAAATTTCCCCAAATTAGGCACACAAGTGAATTGTGATTTTTGCCTGCACGGTGAATAATTTTTTTTTTATATAAGCTTGCATTTTAACTAGCTAATTGTTGGTCATAGTTCTGCGCTAAAGTGGGCAAGCGTAAAAAAAAAAAAATAAAGAATAGCGCAGATAGCGCAACTCAGCAGCGCAGTTTAGCGCAATGCGGCACAAAACATAACCCAAAAATTAGCACAAAGGAGCTCTAAAAGTCGGCCTTAACACCAACCAGGAAAAGGCACTAAGCTAGCATTGACATGTACGCACCAATTGCAATTTTGTATGAACAGTTTAGAAAAAAAAAAAAAGAATATACGTATTTTCCCCAATGTGTGCAAACGAATGGGCAAAAAAAAAGAAAAAAAAATTATGGTCCATCTGATGAAGGTATAAAAGTATCTCCCTTTAAAATTTTCCTTATCGAGTAATCGCGCCCTCTCTTTTGTGGCAACTTTAAGAGAATATTCCTTAACCAGACAACCTTTGCGTACACAAGATCGAAGCGTTTTTCACACTAGGAGAATTTACGCATGTATCGCCTGTCCTTCCATCAGCTCCGCTTTAGCACAGGCCTGCTACGTTCTCCCTACGTCTAATATCAAACGGGAAGGAGTACCATGACGGAGAAGATATGTCACAAACTGATCAATGAAAACATTAAAACGTTGTGTCATCAACCCCTGGGGAGTGACGACAGCTATGAGAAAAGGCCGCATGGAAGCTTTAACAGCGGCGTTGGCGTAAACTGCTCCGCGAAGTGCGACGAATTGTGTAACAACATAAATGACCGACTGCAAAAGATTAAAGATATTGTACATCTGAGGTCGGCAAAGCCAAATGCAGTCCTGATAGAAACCCTAACCTATATCAAAGAGTACATAAAAGAAATACAAAAGTACATAGATCTTTTTAACAACGTTATATATGAGGAGAACAAGGCGTATGCTTATGTGGAGGATATTATGATCTCTCTGGATAAGCAAAATCAGAACATTCAAAAGATTTTTCACATATGTAGCAAAAATATTGTCATTACGAAGAATAACAGTGAACTCGTTTTGCAAAAACCGCAAAGCTACTCTTCTCTATCGGCTAAGTTTGTTAACAATCTGTTAAGTGTGTGCAAGGAGGAGGGAGATGAGCAGGGGGAAAACGGCGAGGGGGGAAATCACCCTGAAGATGGGGCCCTCAATGCTGCCCTGACTGCAACTCGGAGTGCCACCCAAAACGCAAACCAGAACGTAAGAGAAAATGTGATCTTAAACGAATGCCCCGGTGAGGACTATATTAATTAGGAGATCCCATTCGGTGGGGGGGTCGGCAGCAATTGGGCTTCGAAGCGAAGACGCACATGTGTTGTACCTTTGGGTCTAATCTTCCCACCAGTTGACCCTTTTTTGAGACCCATGCCCCAATACGTGCATTTTTCATGGACCCCCCTTTTTGCAAAATGGGAATGTAACATGGCAAATGTCACTTGTGGTGAAGAATTTACCCATTTAGAGGAACGCGGTTCGAAAGAAAAAAAAAACGGCAGTTAAAATTTGGCTCGATTTTATTTATATGTAAAATGTAATTTTTTTTTTTTCTCATTCAGCTTTTTTTTATTTTTATTTATTTGTTCCGTTGTTTATTTTTTTGAGCAATTAAAGCCCCTTTAAAAATTTTATTTGCCTCCTGCAACATAAGTCTGCAGCCGAGTCGCCGCTCTACTCCCCGAAAGTAAACACAAGAAAGGGGCACTTGCTTCGCGAATGTTACACATACATTACATGTGCCTGCGTACACATGTGTATAGTCCAGTTGTGTAGGTAATTCGGGTTTTGCCATTTTAAAGTGTGCA